CCCCCCCCCCCGCCCCCCCAAAAGACAAAATTACAACAAATTTAATTCTCAGTTAACTTTTGTTGTTGGTGTGTGCGTGCACACTGAGAATCAAACCTAGGTCCTCAAGCATGCTAGGCAAACATTTTACCACTGAGCTATGTACCCAGGGCTCCTCAACTAGTTTTTAGGAAACACCATTATATTAAGTAGCATGTTTCTGTGAGCTGTGCAGTGGAGGTTAGTTTTATAGGCAGAAAGAGCTGAGGAAAGCAGAAACAACAAAAAGTGGATTGGTCTTTTTAGTTATTAAGCAAAGGGAACTTCCTTATTGTGTCTGAGGAAACTGACTTGTCTGGAGGTTTGGCTATCGTGTATCTCTCCTGGTTTCTCAGAAGGTCACGTAATATAGTTTCAGCGTGGTGGCAAGGAACTTCACTATGAGTGGCTCCATTTTGGTTTGGCCTGTTGGACTTAGTGCACCTGCTCAGTTCAAACCAGTAGTTTCCTATAAATTGTATTTAAGAGATCTAAAGTTGTCTTCATTGATTAATTCTTGTCCTCCTAGGCAGAAAGGGGGAGAAGGGACACTTTGCTTTTGTAAATTTATGTTATGCTTTTGGGAAAATGGGGGAGGGCAGAGAGCTTTTCTTGTATCCACACCTTCTCAATTATTTCAGTTTGAAATAACTCTCATACCAGAGGCATATTTTGAGGTAGCACATTCTGGTCTCCTATAGGCACACTACTTTTATTCTTGTCCATCGCTATATTCCGCTCCCCTCACTTTGCACCGCCCAACCCTCAGTCTCCTCCATTTTTATCTCGCACCACGCACCCATTCATCTCGAGCCCAAGAGACCCCAGAACAAAGTGATCACTTAGTAAGCATTTGTTGCTCCCTTGGCCTATTTTGACAGCTGTTGGCTTTGTGCATTTTCTGAGACCGTGCCACTAAGGGCACTACTGAAGGCACTTCACTCAGAGAGGTGGGGAGGAAGGAGAACAGCTGGGCTGAGTCCTCACCTGCAAGTTGGACGTCTTCTGAAAGAGGGTGAGCTTCGGGTGGGCGGGGTGTGCCTGGGAGACCAGCAGCCTGGGGAGAGAACTACTGGAGGGCGGGTGTTCCAGGGGTCAGGCCCGGGAAGAGGCGGTGCTGGGCCTAGGGGCGGGGCGGACAGCGCGCAGCCGCGCCGCGATTCGGGGACTTCGAGGAGCTGGAAGGTCCCTGCCGCGCTCGGAGAGGCTATGGGTCGAGCCTCTGCAGAGCTCGGGTCGTGGCAGCTTGGGCTGTGGCTGCTGCTGTGTAGCTGGGGGTGCCTCGCGAGAGCCGAACTGAGGGCCCCGCCGGATAAGATCGGTAGGCCAGAATGGGGCGGTGCAGGAGGGCGCTGGAGCGTAGAGGGCCGGGCGGCTCAGCGCAGTTCGCAGTTTTCGTAGTTCTAGCCTCTGGGTGGCTGTCGGTCTCCCTAAGGACCGGATGGTGCATTCCTGGGCATGGGCGAGGATGGGGACCAAGTGTCCTGCAGTCCAGTCTTAGAGCTGGGCTCCGGGTAGACCCAGATCCCTTTTGCCGCCTTCCTGTTGCAGCACCTTGCCGAAGACAGTCTTAGGCGCGCGCAGCAGACAAAGCACAAGGATCGGTGCGAACAAGCCCAGCCTGTCTGCACCTCTGATAGGCCGCAACCCCTTCCCCATCTCCGCTTTGCTGTTGTCGGCCTGCTCTGAGGTCTCTGGCCTGCAGTTTCTCTGCCTAGGACTGCTATAGCTGCCAAGACAATCTGCAGTCTGTTGACTTTTTCGTTTCAGTCGCTTTGGATTTGGCTCCCTGGTCTCCCACTCCCCTAGTGAATGTTGTATCCCTTGGGATCGTTAACCTGTCTACGTTGAGTCTACACGGAGACAAAAGACTGGAGCTAGGGGAAAATGGCGGCCACTTTATTTAAAATGCGTGCTGGGAAGGTTCCACCTCTTCTCTTGCCATGAGTTGGGCACTGAGAAGGGAGTGAAGGCCTGTTGGTGCCTTTAGAAAAACCTATGAGAATCTTTGGGCATCTGGGAAAAAAGTCGAGTTAATGTCAATCTGCGGTTTTGAGAGGAGAGATTTTTATCTTCAGAGCAGCCCCTCCCACCTCCAGTTTTCCCTTAATTGTTGAGTAACCTCTATTATAATTAATGGAGCTGGGCATGGTGGCGCACACCTGTGATCCCATCGCTTTGGAGGCTGAGGCAGGATGATCACCGAGAGTTCGAGTCTAGCCTGGGCTACATAGTGAGTTCAGAGCCAGCCTGAACTACAAAGCGAGACCTTGTCTCAAAAAACAAAAACAAAGGGCCGGGGATTTAGCTTAGTGGTTCCACCGCCTGCCTCGAAAGCGCAAAGACCCGAGTTCGATCCCCTGCACCAAAACAAACAACAACAACAAAACTAAACTAATGGCCTTTCAAAAATGAAATCCATACTGGTAAAGAGAAAAACAACTGTTCTTTTTTTCCCCTCATAGCCATTATTGGAGCTGGAATTGGTGGCACTTCATCAGCCTATTATCTGCGGCAGAAATTTGGGAAAGATGTGAAGATTGATCTATTTGAAAGACAAGAGGTAGGGGGCCGTTTGGCCACCCTGAAGGTGGAAGGGCAAGACTTTGAGGCAGGCGGTTCTGTCATCCATCCTTTAAATCTGCACATGAAGCGTTTTGTTAAAGACCTGGGTATGTAATTTTGGTCTTAGAGCTAAGCAAATTTCTCTGTGACCATCCCTGGATATTTTTTTTTTGGTACTGGGGATCAAACTCTGGATCTTGTGCTTGTGAGGCAGGCAGCGGCACCACTGAGCTAAATCCCCGGCCCACTGGATATTTTTACCATATGGAAAACTGAAACTTTTATGTCTTGCTAGTTATCTTTTACAGAGAAGTTGGTAAAACTGATTCCCTCAGTGTCCACTTGGCAGTTGGTACTGGTTTAGTTGAGAGCCACTCTCTTGTAATGGGACACTTGTTATCTGTACCTTCAGTTATCTGGAATTACAGCCATGGGCTGGGGTAAGGATGCCTGCTCTTGTGAATTCTTAAACCTCTGGGTTTGTGTTGAGGAATCAGAAACTATTTTGGGCTAGCTGAAACCTTAGAATGCTCATTTTACAGCTGAGGAAATGAGGCCCAGAGGCTTGTATTGTCTGGCTTAAAGTCATTCACACAGCTCTGGGTACAGCCATGTGCTGCCTAGCACTCAGGACATCTGACTGCTGCTTTCCATACCAGCAGAAGAGTTGAACAGGTTGTGGAGGCAGTCTGGGCAGGCCTTGCAGATTCCTCAGGGAATATTGTGCAATATTGGCCTCTTCACTTACCTGAAATACCTCGTTTTGCAAAAATGAGATCTGAATTGGAACTACCTTGCACATTTCCTGTAGCATGGTACCATATTAGTACCATTTCCTCTATGATTAAGAATAGCCTAATTTTGATGTATCTGCATGATCTTCTGACCTATCTCCCGAGTCTAATTTTGGATAGTGCCGTGAGTGTATCACACTGTTCTAAAGATAGAGCTTCTTTTTTTTTTTGGTATCAGAGATCAAACTTGGGTCCTTGTGATTGTGCCACAGGTGGTGGAACCACTGAGCTAAATCCCTGGCCCAAGATAGAGCTTCTTTAATAGGCCCCTTGAGAACTAGGGGAAGCCAAGAATTCACTCACTTAAGAGTATTCCTGGGAGGTTCTCCTGGATTACTTTCTTTCATTTGACCGGTGGTGGAAATCACTGACTTAGCTACCTGTTCTGTTTTTTCAGGCCTCTCCACGGTTCCAGCTTCAGGTGGCCTAGTGGGGGTATACAATGGAGAGACTCTGGTGTTTGAGGAGAGCAGCTGGTTTATAATAAACATGATTAAATTAGTTTGGCACTATGGATTTCAGACTCTTCGAATGCATATGTGGGTAGAAGATGTGTTAGACAAATTCATGAGGTAATGTTTTCCCCTTCCATTTAACCTAAGAACTTTCAGTTTGATGAAATTTAGGAATTACAGTTTCTTGGAGCAGTTCTCTAGATAGCTGCAAGTCCTGTTTATAAGATTGTTAGGCAGGGCCAGGGATTTAGCTCAGTGGAACCATGCCTGCCTCGCAAGCGCAAGGTCCTGAGTTTGATCCCTGGTACCGCAAGAAAAAAAAAAAAAAGATTGTTAGGCAAAATGTTTTGTAGAAAATATGCAGAAAGGGGCCAGGAATTTAGCTCAGTGGTTCCGCCACTTGCCTTGCAAGCACAAGGACCAGAGTTTGATCCCCCATACCAAAAAAAAAAAAAGGAAATATGCAGAAAAAACCCTAAAATACTTAAATCCTCTGGAGCTGGGAGTGTAACTCAGTGATAGAGTGCTTGTCTAGTATGCACTAGGCCCTGGGTTGGACCCCCAGCACTGAAAAACAAATATAAGGGCCAAGGTGTGTTGGTATGATATAGTTAGGGGGTGATATTTTAGCTTCTCAGTTTTGGTACTGATATGTAATCAGTTTTTCCAATAAAAACTTATTTAACATTTTGTATATTATACTCTTAGTAGATAATGTTGAAATGATTATAATAGTGTCCCTTGCTCTCTAAAACTGTTTTATTTTTTGAGAGAAGGAACTTGATATAAACTCTTTTCTCCGATGATCACTAAAAAGGGTCTTCAGCCAGGGATTTAGCTCAGTGATTTCGCCGCCTGCTGCACAAGCGCAAGGACCTGAGTTTGATCCTCAGTACCAAAAAGAAAACAAAAAACAACAAACAAAAAAACTAAAAAGGGTCTTTCTTTGACACTTATTCTTTTCTTTGTTTCATATGCTTACCCGTGTGTAGGCCTTTTTACCTCTCCATAACTATTAGCTCCTGAAAGAAAGGAACCATGTCTTTCTTATCTTTGTACCACTTGCAGTGTGAAAAACTATGAATTGAATTACTATATGCACTAATTTATATCAGTGTTCTTTTAAATTCATAAAGTACGGAGAAATGCCAGGTGATATTTTCTGAATGAATGAAAAATCATATAATCTAGTGTTTAAGTGCTGAATGAGTGTCATTGATGTATATTTTTTTGACTTTTGGAGATGATGATGTCCCTATGGACTGGAAAGATTTTGCAGAGGAGGTGAGACTCAGGTTTTCTGAAGGAAGTATAGCTGTTCTGTGCTGGGAATGAGAAGTATATTCCAGAGATGGGGAGGAGCTTGTGGAGTGCTGGGGAGACTACATGCAGAGCATTTTAAAAGATCAGTGAATGAGTCAGCTCAGCTCAGATGGACAGTGTGCATGGAGATAGAGCCAGGTATGGTGGCATACCCCTGTTATCCTAGGAGATTGAGGCAGGAGGATTGCCATGAGTTCAAGGCCAGCCTTGTCTACACAGTTCAAGGCCAGACTGAACAACATAGTGAGACACTGTCTCAGAAAACCAAAACCAAAATCAAAACCCCCGAAATTACAAAAAAAAACCCAAACCCAAAACAAAACAAAACAAAACACAAAACATGCCCCCCCCCCCAAAAAACCTAGGGAGGTAGATTTGATGAATCTGCCTTTGAAAGCCATAATTCTTTACAATGTCAGGCTAAATGATCATAACTTCATTTAGTAAGCAAGACTATTTTTGTATGCATAGATCCAAAGATAAGAGGAAATAGGTATTTTGGAGCTTTGGGGAGGTTAAAAAATATTTCAAAGTAAATAAGCCAGAAATTGGTAGATCAGTTATTCATTTTACTAGTTTGAATGTAAATTCTAATTTAAGATTAGGGGAATGAGAATGGAGTTACAAGAGATATGTTAGGAAAATTGAGATTTCCCATGTAAGTGGGAGAAACAGGAAAACACTAAGCTTCGGTGCTAAATGAACTGAGGATGACATGTAGGATATTTGGACTGGCCCACTGTTACCATTTTTGTTTAATTTTCATTTGTACATGTTTGTAGTATGTAATGATCACATTCATCATAGGAAGTTAGTACATCTACATTACACATAATTCTTTTTGCACCCCCTCCCCCATCCCTTGGTCTGGCCCATTATTTTTGGTTGAGGTATGGGGGTGAGTGGAGAAATTCAAACCTGGTGGAAAAATAAAATTTAATTTTGGCCATATATAGGTGCTGCTAGAAGATATAATGAGCTGGGTGAGGTGGTGAATGCCTATAATCCCAGCACTTGGGAGGCTGAGGCAGGAGGATTGCTGCAAGTTTGAGGCCAGCCTGGGGCTACATAGTGATTTCAAGGCCAGCCTGAACACATAGTGAGGCCCTGTCTCAAAAAAAAAAGAGAAAGATATAAAGAATCAGAACAAGACATACGCATTTCTTCAAAAGTGCTCCAAGGGACACCACATTAAAACAGCAAAGGAAGAGTATATGTAGAGAACAGTGGAATTCCAGAGGAGGGGTAGGGTGAAGGAGGCCCCAGAGCTTATGATGCTCTTTCCCTTATTTCTAAATCCCCTTCTCCCATCTTAGTGTTTAATGGCCATTTCTCTTCTTTTCAATAGGATCTACCGCTACCAATCTCATGACTATGCCTTCAGCAGTGTAGAGAAATTGCTACATGCTGTAGGAGGGGATGACTTCCTTAGACTGCTTAACTACACGCTTCATGAAACCTTGCAGAAAGCAGGCTTCTCTGAGAAATTCCTCAGTGAAATGGTTGCTCCTATCATGAAGGTCAATTATGGCCAAAGCACAAACATCAGCGCCTTTGTGGGTGAGTCAGGGAAAGTACTGTCATAGACATAGGCTCAAAAAAGGATGTAGCTGATGCTTTGGTGGTTCCTGACTAGGTCAGAGCTTGGAAAGGCTGTCTTTCTCCACATCTCAGACATTGTTAGTAGCACTGTTTATTTGTAGATGTACATTTTTCAGGGGAAAAGGTCCTAGGCATCCATTAGTTTAATGGTTCTCGGCTGGGCAAGATTTTGGCTGAAGGATCATTTGGCATTGTGTGGAGACATTTGGAGCAGAGCATCTAATTGGGAAAGAAGAGTCGGGAGAGGACCTCTTAACAAAGTGGGAATTAAAACACATTTTTTTGCTCCTGCTGACAGGGGCAGTGTCAATGTCTGGTGCTGATTCTGGCCTTTGGGCAGTAGAAGGTGGCAATAAAGTTGTTTGCTCAAGACTACTTAAGGCTTCCAAAGCCAATCTTATATCTGGCTCAGTAATGTTTATAGAGGAGAAAACAAGGACCAAGTCGACAGGTGAGTTTAACTTCTTTTGTCCTAATTACCCCTGCAGATCATTTATGGAGAAAAAAAACCTTTTTCCTTCTGGAATCTCTCACTCAGTTCCAAAATGAGGAAACATTACATTGCATATGTTATGCCTCGTAGAAATATTCTCAAACGTGCGCAAGTTTGGTGTCATGACTCTGAATTTTAAGAAATAACTCATCCACAAAAGCAAAAATTTCACATTTTGTACTTATCAAAACTGTGAATAGGGGCCTGGGGATTTAGCTCAGTGGTTCTGCTGCCTGCTTTGCAAGTGCAAGGACCCGAGCTTGATCCCCTGTACCAAAAAAAAAAAAAAAAAAAAACTGAATAGGAAATTGTCCTCTGTAATAAAATTGCAAGGAATAGTTATCTTTGTTTAAAATTTGCATTTATTTTATTCCCATGCCATAAGTTTTTGTTTCTTCAGTTTCTTCAGGGAAATCTTTTTCTTCTGTGCAACTTCCTCCTCTGGTTTAAGAACAGTTTGTTCCTTTTCAGTCAGAATAATCTTATTTTTATTTATTCATTTTTTTGGTACCGGGGATCGAACTTGGGTCTTTGCGCCTGAGCAGCAGGTGGTGAAATCACTGAGCTAAATCCCCGGCCCAAGTCATAATAATCTTGATGTGGCAGAGAGGGCTCATGTATGGGTTAATCTGGCCATGAGCTCTAAATATAGTGGTGCATCTTGGGTGCTTTGTTCACCTGGATATGTTTAATGACCAGGGAATCTGTGCTTAAACCCTTAAGCTCAGCATTACTTTCTGCATTTTTTAAGCATGTGCAGCAAAAATTCAGCACTCTTTTTGGGCTACCAACCTGTGTCCAGCCCCACTGTTTGGCCTGGGCACACCTACCAGCTGCAGCACTGTAATGATGGAATGGGACACATTTCTTCTTTAAAGTGACATCCTTCAGATACGTGGTGGTCTGTCAGATATGCATACCCTTGATGCCTGGGCAGTTTCACGGGTTTCCTTAAAGTGAACATGAAGATTTGAGCCTCTTGATTTCCATGGTTTTGTGAGGTTTTCTGTGTCAAGAGAATATGGAACCATTTTAACAGGTCATCTCAAGCTGCTTGCTTACAGGAAGAGGGAATAGTTACATATTTTGGTTTTTTTTAAGACAAGATCTCGCTATGTAGTCCAGTCTGGCGTTAAACTCACTATGTAGCCCAGGGTGGCCTTGAACTGGTGGCAGTCCTTGCGCCTCAGCCTCCTGAGTAGTGGGATTACGGGTGTGTACCACCACACCTGGCAAGAATTATTTTTAAAAGGTATAATGTTAGAAACACTAAAGAAATGTATACTTCTGTATTTTCATTAGGAAATCCAACAAAGATGTATGAAGTGGTCTACCAAACTGGATCTGAGACCCTTTCAGACTTCTATGACATTGTCTTGGTGGCCACACCACTGAATCAAAAAATGTCCAATATAACTTTCCTCAACTTTGATCCTCCAATTGAGGAATTTGATCAATTCTACCAACAAATAGTGACAACTCTTATTAAGGGAGAATTGAATTCAACTGTATTTAGCTCTCAAGAGAAAAATCAGTTTGGCCTCTCTACAGTGTTAGTCACTGATAGTTCAGATTTGTTCATTAACAGCATTGGGATTGTATCCCCTGTAAGAGAAGAGGAAAATCCTCTACCATCAACAGATGGAACATATGTTTGGAAGCTATTTTCTCCAGATGTTCTTAGTAAAAGGCAAATTATGAAGTTCTTTTTGTCCTATGACTATGTTGTGAAGAAGACCTGGCGTGCATATCCTGTGTATAGGCCCCCGCAGAAATGCCCCCCCATTGTGCTCCATGACCGGCTGTATTACCTCAATGGGATAGAGTTTGCTGCGAGTGCCATGGAGATGAGTGCCATTGCAGGCTATAATTCTGCTCTCCTTGCCTATCATCGCTGGAATGGGCATACAGACATGATTGACCAAGATGGCCTGTATGAGAAACTTAAAACAGAGCTGTGAAATAACTCTATCCACCTTTCCCCTTCTGGTTCCCGGTGAGTATCACTGGCAAAAAAATTACTGAATCTGAGCAGAGATGATTTTGAATCAGATATTTTCCCATTATCTTCATTTAATTATGGGTCATAAGCAAATGCAAGGTTCAGTGGATAACTTGCATCTAGGACATCTTCACAATTTACCTGCTTTCTCAATATCCATGACAGTGTTTCCCAAACTTGTCTAATCATAGCAATCACCTGGAGCTTGTTAAAATACATGGATTGCTGGGTGTGGTGGCACATGCCTGTAATCCCAGCACTCAGGAGGCAGAGGCAGGCAGATTGCTGAGAGTTGGAGAACAGCCTAGGCTACATAGTTCAAGACCAGCCTGGACTATCTAGTGAGACCCTGTCTCAAAAACAGCAACAACAACAACAGCAACAACAACAAGAAAATCAAAAAATCCCAACATGTGGATTCTCAAGCTTTTCTTTTGAGATTCTGATTCAGTAGGTTTGGAAGTGGAGCTCTGGATTTTGATCAAAATGGTAGAGCTGTTAAGATGAACTCAAATTTAAAGACATCTTAGAGACTGGCTCATTTAAGTTTCACATTTGTATATGATCTTTATTCAGATAATTATTTTGGAAGGTGATTTTTTTTTTTTTTGGTACCGGGGATCGAACTTGGGTCTTTGAGCTTGTGGGGGAAGGTGGCAGAACCACTGAGCTAAATTAAATTCCCGGCCTGTGGAAGTTGATGTTTTGAGGCTGTCTCTTAGCAGTATGCACCTTTTTGACCTAAATGCACCCATTGTTAATCCTGGACTTTCAGAATGTTATCCTTTGATTGCTCTGTTACCATTTTATTAGGGGCAAATTTCAGAAGTCTTATGAGTAAAATCTTAAGATTTTATACCAAAATCTCCAGGAAAATGGAAAGCAGATATGGGATACTGAATTAAGAAATTGACATTCTAATATTAAGGCTTTGCTTGAGGAACTTTAAAAATTACTGATAGGTCCTCACAGCTGCAGATTGGGATTTGATGGATTGAGGATATGAACTTGTCATTATAGCTTTCTCAGCTCCTAATATGCAGCCAGAGTTAAGAGACTCTTGGATGTAGGGGTGATGAAATATCTGCAAGGGGTTTTTAGTGCCTTAGAAGTCCTAAGAAACCCAAATCATTGTCAAAGCAGATCTATTTCACAAGCAATGATTTTTCTCAGGGAGAACTTTCACAGTAATCTTGATAAGGAGCATTAACAGTGTTAATAGCAGAGGCAACTTTTTTAACCCTAGAGCAGCAGTTGGCACTAGAACAGGATAACAGGACACCAGACTCTGTCAAATTCAGGATATGTTCAGAGTGCTGAATACATCAGTTACTGTAGCGTGGTGGGTTGGAAGGTAGATGCTGAAATCGTGAGGTAGTGGCTCTCAAACTTGCCTGCACAGTGGAATCAGTTGAAGGACTCAGAGCTTCCCTTATGCAGCCAAACTTGAGAAAACCAGTTCAGTGTTTGCTGTACAAAGGTCATGATCAATTGTCCTATCACTGGTATAAAGAACAAGTACATCTTGTGAATTCTGACAATAACTGCAACCTGGTTAACATGTACCATCATTTAAAGATTCCTTCATCAGATTATGTCAGTAGCTATTTTAGGAAAATGGTATGACATTAACTTAATAAAAATTATTTCTTCTCTAGTCCAATTGTGTACTATTACATAATACACTGATAAAACTGCCAAGATATATTTGATATAGACAGGAATTAAACTCATGGTTTATCAAAGGGTTAGCTCTTTCCTAGTTTTATTCTTTACAAGAGTGCTGAGGGATTTATATTTTTTTTCCTTTTGTGGTTTTAAAGAGGACAATTTGTAGAGACTGTAATGCTGTGTTATATATACTACAGTAGTCCCTCTTATCTAAGGGTGATATTTTCCGGTACTCCCCAGTGGTTGCCTGAAAGTGGACAGTACTGAACCCCATACAATGTTTCTTCCTGTACATACATACATACCCATGAGAAAGTTTAACTTATAAATTAAGCAGAGTAAGATTAACAAGTGTCTACTCATAATAAAAACTGTATTCTGTAAGGTATTTAATTTTTATTTCTGGCATTTTCCATTAAATATTTTCAGACTATGCTTGGTTTTCTGTAACTGAAGCTATGGAAAGCCAAACTAGATAGGGAGGACTACTGTAAATATTGGTAAATACTAATGAAATGATTTAATTTCTACCATTTGTAGACTTGTTTTGCAGTGGGATATATTTTTACTTATAAAAATACCAACTTAAAATGTTCCTGGTCTTATATCAAACCTACTGTGATTCAGTGTTCCAATAGGGTATCTGAAATTGCTTCCCAAAAACCAAAACAGGTTGAGTCATCAGACATATTAGGTATTTTCAAGTAACTTCAGTATTAAAAAAAAAAATTTTTTTAAACTGGAAGAGAAATACTACTAGTGCCTTCTACTCCAGGGATATTGGGTAGTTTTTACTGTAACTGCACCATTAAAGAATAATTTTATATGCCTTGCAAGCACAAGGACCAGAGTTTGATCCACGGTACAAAAAAAAAAAAAAAAATTTTATGAAAGGAAAAATACTTTCAAGGTTTGCTACTCCAGGAGGCCAGTCTCTTTTTACGGAAGAGACTGTTAACAATGATGCTGGAGCTGAGTGGGAGCCAAGTCTACTCCAGTTGTTCCAAGAGTTGAGTATGGATCTGCATTACTTGGAATGATTATTAAAACTTTGCGGGGTCCCACCCTGGGATTTGTTACTTAACAGGATTATAGTGGGATACAAAAATTTGCATTTCTATTAAGTTCCCAGGTGATGCTCCTATTCTAGGAACCACACTTGGACAGTTACTTCTAAAAAGCAACATCTGTGAAGATTTAGAGATGCTGAATAAAAAAAATGTACTGAACTTAATATGTTATCCTGTGATTAGCTTGATTCGTGTTTTGTTGTAATCATTTTTTATAAAGAGAAAAAACACCATTTATATACATCATTAATTGTCTTAAAAAAATCTTAGAAGCTCACCTGTATTTTCCAGTTTTAAACTGATTGGAGATTTGCAGGCTTTTTGCTGTATCACAAAAAGAGTAAACAGGTCCTTAGGCATTTGCTTAGAATGTTTGTTAGGGTTAGGCTCATAATACAACCATGTGTAATGTATCTCTCATTTCAGCTTTTGAGCCAAAAACAAAATTCATCAACTAGATGAACATATTATTGGCTACATTCACTACTCTACTCGCAGTTACAATATGCTGTTTCTCTGAAATCCTGTTTCTATCTCTTGAAAAATTTCCCCAGTGATTGTGTTAACAATAAACAACTGTGTCATTACTTTTCATTTCTGTTGCAGTACCTTTTGAATGTCAATATATAGTGAAATATTCCAAAATCTGACTTGATGCCACAGGCGGAAAATCTTACACATCCTCATGTAACTGGTCAAAATGCAGGCACACATACACTATGCAAAATCACATTCAGGCTACATGCATAAGGTGCATGTATATAAAACATGAATTAATTTTAGTGTCTGAAGTCAGTCTCACCAAGAAAACTCATTTTAGAAAGAAAGCTAATATTTCATTTGTGTATTCAGGAATCTAAGGAAGCATTTTTGACTATTACAAAAGTTTATTTAACAAAAAAATTTAATATGAAAATGTGTATGACTCAATTTTTGGTCATAGTGAAACTAGCGGTTTGAAGAGGGGCATGGATTTCTCTGCTGAACAGTTATTTAAACTCGTTCCAGGGCTTCCAACATGATGATACTATTTCCTCGTATTACCTAGGAAAGAGAAAAGTAAATTAATAGATCAATGATTACACGATTTTCACCAATTTATTGATTCTTCGATATATTTTTTTTTTCCTGATACTGGGGATCGAACTTTGGTCCTTGTGCTTGTGCAGCCGGTGGCAAAAATACTGAGCTAAATCCCCGGCCCTGATTCTTTGATATTACATGACAGTTTGTAAGGCTTTTTTCAAACCATACAGACACCAAATAAATAGTTTAATCACAACAGGAAGTCACTAATTCTTTTAGAAGAGACACATATTTATTTTGAAGGCCAATAATTAACTTTATGAGATGCTGAGTCACTGACTAGTTTTGCCTTTTAAATGGCAGGACTCAAATGAACATGCTTAACCCTGTCCTTAGCTCCAAAAACTGATGGGAAAAATAGGTACAGTAGAATATGCCAGTTTAGGGATATAAGATCATTTAGGGAGGCAGGCGGAGGAACCACTGAGCTAAATCCCTGGCCCTTTTTTTTTTTTTGGTACTATGGATCAAACTCAAGACCTTGTGCTTGGGAGGAAGAGTATAAGATCATTTAGGGAATAAACCAGGATGGAAGTTGTGGAAAGTAGGCCATACGATGACATTGTAGCTGGACCGAGGAAATTGGGTAGAATTTTGTCAATCTGGCAAACTGTTGACAGAACTAAGGTGAAGACAAAGTATAAAGAATCTAATCTATATTCAACAAAAAAGTTATAATGGGAAGTAGAAAGCAAAGGTAGCTGGCACCCCACCTTAGAAGGCTTTGAATGCCAATCTTAGTGTAGGGAGCATCATGAAACCAACAATTTGCTAGTTAAATGCTACATTTGGAGAAAAGACAGTAACCATTCTGGCAACAAAAAAATCTTAAGTGTTTGAATGAGATAGTACTTGGAGGTAGAAAGAGTTAGGAAGAAAGGGCCTCAGGAGCACAGTACCTGGCTTGAAAGGTAAATGAAAACTAGCAGGGACATCTACAAGATTGCAGACAAGATGGCTAGTACTGAATTCACAAGGAGAAAAATACGTGAACCTGGAAGCTGAGGGGACTGGGAACAACAGGTCCCTGACGGATTGTACATCACAATTATCTGGATAGTGAAGGCCACAAGGGGGATGACAGGCAATAATTTGAAATGTTTATTAGAAATACAGAATTCTGAATAAGACTCAGATGGAGCTGTGCTTATAGCCAACTACAGTAAAAGCAGCTAGAACTTACTTTCTTCCCTTACTGAAGGTAGCTTTAGTTATACATACACGATGATTCTGTCTCCTCACTGAAATTTAATTCTAGGACAGCAGGGTAATAAACTAGAAAAACCCAGGTTAACTAAGTACACAAAGTAAAAAGTAACTGGCAGCTCTGCACTGAGCAGATTAAAAATGTGTATTTGTTAGAAAGCAAAATTTCAAGTTTTATCCTACACATACTGAATAATCTAGATTAATAAAATATGCTGGAGAATTATATATATGCATGTTAGTCTGAAAGCTATGACCCTAATTATGGTCTGACTATGGGCCTCTCTTATAGAATACTGTAAAGCTCAAAATGATTTCCAACTGCTGGGCATGGTGGCACACACCTGTAATCCTAGCACTCAGAAGGGTGAGGCAGAAGCGGGGTGGGGATTTAGCTCAGTGGTGCCACGGCCTGCCTCGTAAATGCAAGGTCCTGAGTTTGATCCCTGGTACCAAAAAACCAAAAAACAAACAAAAACAAAACAAGAATCTCCACGAGTTCAAGGTTAGCCTGAACTACTGTGGTACCTTGGTTCACAAACTCAGTTCTCTCGACGATTCTAGTTCCAAACTGAATCAAATTTTCCCATTAGGTTAACATTGAACCCAACCACTGAATTTGATTCCATTCTTGTCCAACTTGGATTTGTGACCAGAATCATAGAAAGAATCGAGGTACCACTGTACATAGTGAGACCCTGTCACCAAAAAAAAGATGTCCAAAAGTGATTTCAAGCCCTAAGATCTTAGAAGCTTCTGTACAATTGAGATCTTACATACAGGTCATTGGGATATTATGACAACTGAATGACTGTATATGTTACACTAAAAAGGAAATGCAATGTATAATCTTGCCTGTTATTTGCCTTTTATTTATTACTCCAATTTATTTTTTTTTGGGGGGGGGAAGGGTTCATGTGTCTTTATTTGGGTTTTTTTTAAGCTTATTAGAACCTGTGAAGTACATGTTTATATTCCTTGTGACTAACTCTAGTTTAATCCAAGAATTTCATGCAACAGAATACATATTCTTAAAGAAAAATGAAATCTCTGAGAAGTCTTATCTTCACTTACCACCATTCCAATATTGTTCTGTTGCCCACTAGTTGCCATCTCCACACATTCATCTATCACAAGATTCATAAAGGGATCAAACCCTCGCAATATTCCTTGGACATGTCTGCCACCATTTAATTTCACTATAAAAAGGGAAAAAAGTTTTAATAAAATTATCAATGATTAACTATTCATTACAGATCAGGTGGGATACGACCCAGTTTAGAGTGAAACAGTTGCACAGGCCAGTAACGTGTGGTAAAAGAATTTACCAAGGGCTGGGGATTTAGCTCAGTGGCACTGCGCCTGCCTCAAAAGCACAAGGTCCTGAGTTCTCAAATTCTCAGTGATCCTCTTGCCTTAGCTTCCTGACCATTAGGATTACAGGTGTGTGCTAGCACACCTAGCACGTCAACATTTTAATTTATAAGCACTCTAAAGTAGTATATACATGAAAACAAGTTGTAAGTAACAGGGCTCAAGGTTTTATAGCTACTAACTGTATGGTAGAGCTGAGATTCAAACTAAAGATTGCTTACCTCTAAATCCCTTGTGTTTAATCCGTATGTATTTCAAGTAATGCATGGGTTAGGTTTTTAGTGAGGCTGAACAAATCTGTTTTTTCTACACATTTCCAAGAAATAAGAGTTAAATGCTCCTTGTCTAAGTCTTTTTTGGCTTGTTTGAAGGAAAAAAGGTTGATAAACCTTCAAATATTACAACACAGGGAACTCCTGTTAATTTTCTCAAAGTGGGAGAGGGCCTATTTGTGATAATCCCAAGTCTTAAGTACTGTTCAGTAAGGAAAGCTATCTAGTCAGAACTTTGATAAACCTGCTTGATTAATGGATATGAATCAGAGACTGTGTGCTTTAAATTTTTGTAAAGTGATTCCAAACATTACATACTGCCAAGATATAAGATAAAGCAAACGGGGCCAGGGATGTAGCTCAGTAGTGCTGTGCCAGCCTGGCAAGTGCAAGGTCCTGAGTTCCATCCCTGGTACCAGGAAAAAAAAAAAAGCTATACAGGTAATAGAGGCAAGATTAAAACAAACTTACATGATAATTTCTTGTCCATAAATCTGGAAAAAACAAGAGTAAAAATTACACATCTGACTTAATTTATACAATAGGAATATGAAATTTAAAATAGTAAAAACCTTGTATTGCTGTAAAGAGTGAAAGAACAATGGAACACCTAAATTAGGCATTATACAAAGCAATATAATTTGGGATGGGGGAAGATAATAAAAACAGAGTATGTTTAAACTACATAATCTTCATTAAATTCTTTTCACAAATATGAACTATGAAAAAAAGTTATTGTTAAAACTGTTTTGTTTGGGCTGGGGATTTAGCTCAGTGGTTCCGGCGCCTGCCTCACAAGTGCAAGGTCCCGAGTTTGATCCCCGGTACCAAAACAAAACAAAACAAAAGAAAAACTGTTTTGTTTCATTGACCTAATTTTCAGTGATTGGATCTACACTTGATCTTAGCCAAAAGGCCGAGAAGCAATTCAGTGATTGGATCTATGACTAAACACAACAGAAAAACAAAGACTTGGTTATATTTTGGTTATCTCCAAAACGGTAATCAAACTACATCAAATTCAATTACTGTTTGAAATAGTAATGTTTATTTAATATTAAAGCTTTAAGCTTAAGTTTTCAGGACAGTTCTAAGACACATCTCAGCCAAGTACATATTTTAAAACTTTGGACAATTAGTTCTTTTTTTTTTTTTGGTACCGGGGAATCAAACTCGGGACCTTGCCCTTTTGAGGCAGGCGCTGGAACCACTGAGCTAAATCCCTGGCCCTTGGACAATTTGAATTAAACAAGACTATCCCATCACAGTAGGCCAGAATGAGAACATTAAGCTACGATATCAAATCAAATTTTATCTCTTCCAGTTATAGTCTACAAAATATGAATTTTTTTCTTTTGGTTTTCTGAGACAGTCTTGCTCTTTTCAGGCTAGCCTTGAATTCAGTATGTAGCCTACAGTGGCCTCGAACTTATGGTGAACCACCTGCCTCAGCCTCTCGAGCGTTGGGATTATAGGTGTGCACCACCATGCCTGGCTAGAAAGTATGAAATTTCACTCAACTTTAATGCATAGAATATCGTGGGACAATTCCAGCCAAGTATAATATAGGGTCCAGCTGGGTTGGTGGCACACACCTGTAATCCCTGTTACTCAGGAAGGTGAAGCAGGAGGATCACAACTTTGAGGGCCCGGGGTTCACTCCCCAGTGCTAAAAAAAGACATAGGAGCTGGGCATAGTAGTCCATGCAGCTACTTTGGGGGCTGAGGAAGGAAAAGCACAAGTTGAAGCCTTGTCTGGGAAATTAATGAGACTGTATTAAAAAAAAAAAAAAAAGAAAAAGGGGGCAAGGATGTAGCTCAGTGTGAAGGCCTTGAGTTTAATTCCCAGTACTGAGAACAAAAAAACACAAAGGTGTATTTAAATACAGAGTTATCAACATGAACTTATCCTTGTGCCTGACTTGACCCAACAGCAGATGAGCTATACAAAAGGAGCTCATACAGCTACACAAGGAAAATTAATCATTGTATTAACTTTGTGCTCCTTGTGCAACCCAACTACTACATGCAAAATTCCAGTATTATACATAAAGATAGAACTACTCAGTAGATACGGAACATGTGAAGTTCAGTCAAGAAGTGTTTTAGGAGGCCAAAGCTTTAAACTGGGTTTTATGTATAGGAAGGATATCCTACTGTTTGATGATACTGGGTCAAACTAACTTTCCCTGATTGGGGTAATGAAATGTTCTTACAGTTACAATATCAGAACAAGATACCACAGTACATACAAGTTTAATTTAATTATAAGGCAAGAATGTACACATTTAGCCGAGTGTGGTGGCGCACGCCTGTGATCCCAGCACTTGAGAGGCCGAGGAAGGAGAATCTCTGCAAGTTCGAGGCCAGCCTGGGCTATAAAGTAAGTTCAAGGATAGCCTGCACTATATAGCGGGATCCTGTCTATTAAAAAAAAAAGGAATGTACACATTTTGTGTGTACACATTTATTGAAACATCATATGGTACCAAATTAATACACTGTATTTATATATTGGTTAAAATTAATTTTCAGTTTTAAAAAGTAAGAAAAAGGAACGGGCTATCTATGCAAAAGCGCAAAGAACTACATTTTCTCCATGGCTTAAGTGGCTTTTCATTTCCTTATAAACTATCAAACACCTGCATTCCAGCCAATTCTGTAATTCCTTATGAAATTAACCCTCCAGCCACCTTACTCAGAACATGTTATTCAAGTAGTTCACCAAAGAGAGGGACTGGAGCTCTTCAAGTGAAGAGATAAGGATAGCGTCGGAAGACCTAGGCCGAGAACTCAAGTTGGACAAATGGAGGTGCCCTGGCTGCTAACCGGCCCGACCTGCGATGTCTACGATGGCTTTAAACTCCAAAGCGCCGGCCCCTGGTCGGGATCCTGGCGGGCTCAGACCGGAGGACATGTGGTGAAGGGACTCAAGCCGTTTGACCTAAACCCACCAGAGGAAAAGAAGGGAAACGCAGACGAACTAAGGGATGCGGGGCACGCAGAGAAGAGGCCCTTACGCGAGGGCCTCACGTACCACTTACTTTTTCAGCTCGGGAGGGTGAGCCTTGCTCATCTTGTCTAATCCACGGGCACAGAGATCCTTTGAAAGTGAATCTGCAGCTCACGTCGCGCTCCCGCGGTAGGCTCGGCGCTTTACGTCTGGCGTCACAAGTCGCGAGCCAATCGCCGGTCTGTAATTTTTACATTTCACCTCGCGATACTTAGGGGAAGCTAGGGCATGTGGGTAAGCCAGTTCCCAGTTGCGTCATCAGCGAGCGGCCAGGGAAGAGAGGCGGGGCCTCGATTCTATTTCCTTTGTCTAAAATTGAGATAAAGGTACCGCGTCTAGGTTCTGGGCGAAGTCAGCCAGTCCCTTTATTTTTGTGGATCTCGTGATTTTTTTTTTTTTAAATACAGTATATGTGGAGTGAAAATGAACTCTGGTTAGTGGACCCATAATTTTTTTTGGCATATATACACCTAGAGCATACTGTCAGGTCAAAACATTTGTAGTACCCAAATTAATGGTCTTTCTGCAGCAGAACAGAGTAAAGGGACTGGGCCTAGCTGCAGAAATTTGAAGTCCTAGATTGTATTTCCAACTGACAGTTCTACAATTCTTTTTGGTACCGGGGATCGAACTCGGGTTCTTGCGCTTGTGCAGCAGGCAGCGAAACCACTGAGCAAAATCCCCGGCCCAGTCCTACAATTCTTGTAACACTGTTTCCAGGACTCCACTTAATGTCCCATTGCCCCTGTATATAAAATGTGAGGCACAGGATGTATTTTCTAATATGTGTACTGATTTTCCAAGTCAAGTGCACAAATATAAGAAAATGGGCTTCTACTTGCTTCTGTTATCCCAAAATAGGAAATTCCACGGATTATAGCATATTTAAATCAGAACAGAAGGGCTTGATGATAGTAAGTAGGGGATGGTTTTCCAAAATTAAATTCATTCCTAATGGCTATATGGGTGGGCATGGTGGTGCAAGCTTGTAATCCTAGCACTCTGGGAGGTTGAGGCAGAAGGATAGCAAATTAGAGCCCAGCCTTAGCCAGACCCTGTCTCAAAGTTTAAACAAAACAAAACAAAAAAACAGAAGTGTGAGCCTAGGGGCACTAAGGCCTTTGGTTCAATCCTCAGGACTGCGGGGCGGGGGGGCAGTCTGTTTAAGTATCAATAATAGTAAGGACAGGGGCCAGGGATTTAGCTTGGTGGTGCCACGGCCTGCCTGGCAAGCACAAGGTCCTGAGTTCAATCCCTGGCCCCCCATAACCACAAACATCATCCATTTTGTATTCCTTTGTTGTTGAAGATTCTAGATGTTGAATTTTTCTCTAAAGAGGTCGTATTTCTTGACATTTGCTGTGTTTCATTGAAACTAGAAACCTCGGATACTGAATTTATTTTTATCTTCATAGACATTCTTTTTTTTTTTTTTAAGACAGGGTCTTGTGATGTGTACGTAGTCTGGGCTGTCCTTGAACCCAGGATCTTCCTGCCTCAGCCTCTCCAGAGCTGGGATTACAGGCAAGTGTGACCATGCCCACTTCTGACAGTTTTTTTCTGTTTTTTGAGACAGAGTCTTACTGTGTAGTTCAGGCTGGCCTTGCACTCACAATCCTCCTGCCTCAGCCTCCTAGGTGCTGGGATTACAGGCATGCATCACCATGCCTGGCTGACAGTTTCTTTTGTACATTAATGGACTTCAAGTCATACTACCCTATTCTTCCCTTAGTGCTCCCTATTTTAATGATCTAGTCCTGCATCTGAACTGTAACATAACTAATTCCCACTTTTCTGGACAGCTTCAGTTTATTTTAAAGATAACAAGAGAAACACTGAGAAAGTTATCACTACCCAGATAGGAGAAACCCAATTGTGAGGAGACAATGAAACTTTTATTTATGAGACCAAACCACTAGGAAAATGTATCACAGGCTTGACACAGCAAACAGACAGGCTATATAATCATTTCAAGTAATAAACTGGTAAAAAGACAACACATACCTCATCCAAAAGATAAGGTGCCATGCTGGGGCAGGAACACTATGTTGTAAAGGCCCCAGGCAAAAATGTTATTTGGTAAAGGAGTCACAGCTCAAATTGCTTACTTTTTGACCTTCCTGTTGCCAGGAGATTACCTCGATAAGGCGCTGTAATTCAGGAGGCTAACAGTGCTGGGTTTAGGCTTTTATTCCATTGTTTTATAAAAACCAGTTTCTTCAAGTTCAGTACTTCACAGCTCTCTTAACTAACCAACAGTTCCTATTTCAGTTTATCAGAGTCAAAACTCTTTACCCTACAAGGGAAAAGTGTCACTGCAAGATTGTCCTGTTAACTGCCACAAAAAGCATGAGGAAGGTCTGTTTTCCATATAGTGTGTGACACTAACTCATTTTTTGCAATCATTTCCAGATTGAAAGACATAGTGTACGAATATTAAGACATGCACATCCCTATCTTGATGGCTAAAAAAGGACATACACAAGGAGCCTTTCAGAGTTCTCATCTACTCTCTCAACTCCACATCTTAAATCCGCTTCATGCCCTTGCCTATAAAAACCAAGCAAAATGAAGGTATGTACCCCCTCCCCACACCTCTTTTGAGAGGGGTCTTGCTATGTAGTCTGGGCTCGTCTTGAACTCACTATGTAGCTCAGGCTGGCTTCAAACTCATGGCAATCCTTGTGCCTCAGCCTCCCAAATGCTGGGATTACAGGCTTGTAAGTTAGTTATCTGAATTTTGTTTTATGGCTTAGTAGAAAATAGTGTGGTGATATTTCTGGTACATAGAAAATTAGGTACAGAGACACTTCTGCAACTCCACCAGGTCACAGGCAGCTTAGAGGAACCTGCCAGCCTGCTAATATCTGTTTATTAAAACACAGGTACCTTGGAGGGTTCTCAGTTTGTACAACTGAGATCTCTACTGCCAGGATAAAGTCTTGCCACATGAAATTTAGGCTCTAAAACACTCTCTTGTGCTATCTTTGACCCAAACTTTAGCACCAATTTTTTTTTTTTTTCATTTCATTTTCTAGCATCCAAATGTAGAGCAATCAGGGTCCAGAGGCAAGTGAAATGTCTTAAACTTGCTGTCATCCTTAGTTTCTTCATTCGTAAGTTTTACTTCCTGCCCTAATCCCCGATGGCCACTGGCAAAGACTTTTATTTCCCAATGGATGAGAGAGACTCCTTCATCCTTTTGGTCATAGTTGGAATGAGGTTCATGTGGTCATCTACACACTTGGCCACACAACTGTCCAGCTGTTGTTTCACCTGAAGCTCTTTATTCCCCGCATCCATTGAATCTTTGGCTTTGTCGTTGCAATGCATCGTGCACCGGGCCAGGCGGTCCTATGGCAAGAAGGAAGAGAAGGCTGAAAGGCTGGCCTTCATTTACTGGGTGCTGACTGTGTGCCAGGTCTTGGCTACAGGCTTGATGTCTATTATCTTGTTCAGTTAAAATGACACAGAGTGCAAAATTGTCTTGGCTGACACAGGAGAGCTCACACAAACCATTACTAAGCAGGGGATGAGCAAATAAATTGTACAGAAGACTGGTTGCTAGTGAGAGGTTACTAAAGGTTACTGTCAGGTTTAGAAACACCTTGATTCCTTTGTGTTCTTTTGCAGTACTTGGGACTAAATCCAAGAAACATTGAGCTACACTGCCAGCCATTTTTTATTTTGAAACAGGGTTTTTCTAAGTTTACCCAGGCTGGCCTTAAACTTGGGATCCTCCTGCCTCAGCCTCCTGAGTAGTTGGGGTTACAGGTGCACATCACCATGCCCAGCTCTATCTTGATTCTTTAATGTCTGTCCTTGCTACAGAGAAACAATTCAACTATAGTATATGTTAAGCACCTACTATGTGCCAGTCTTCTAATATTGTGAATAGAACAATAAATAAAATGGATAAAGTTCTTGTCCTCATGGGACTTACATTCTAGTGCAGGGATAAGTAACTAGAGATGTTGACAGCTGGATATCTGAATCTTGAATTTAGGAATAAGATACAAATGCAAGAGTTGTCAGCATATAGATGATATGTATAGTTAGCTATGAAGAGACAAGCCCAAGGACAGCCTGCACCCTCCAATCCTCAGATGCTGGAGAGTGGAAGAGCCAGCAAAGGAAGCCAGGAGAGTGGCCAGCCAGGTGTGGTGGTGCACACCTATAATTGTTGCACTCTGGGAGATTAAGGCAAGAGGATTTTGAGTTTGGGCCCAGACTGGGCAATTCAGTGACTTATGAAGTTAAAACAAAACAAAAGGGCTAGGGACGTTGCTCAGTGCAAAAGCCCTGGGTTCAATTCCCAGTATGGAGGAACAACAGCAACAAAAAACGGTGCCAGAGAGGGAGTTGGAAAACCAGGAGGTGTTCTGGTGGCAAAATGAAGAATAAAATGATTCAAGGGGAAGATGCAAACAGATTAAGATGAAGGCTGATCACTGACCAGTAACCACTGGACTTAGCCCCGTGGAGGTGCACTCACAACTACAAGACCAGAAGGCACAGTGTGAGAGTGAAAGTCTGCCTGGAACAGACTGCAAAGAGAATGGAAGGAGAAAGTTACATAGTAACCCAAGAATCAAATTTTCAAAGACTGCATCCAAAAAATTAGATGTCAGAATGAACACAAAGAAACCCTTTGGAGTTTCATGATCTTGGAGCTTTTCCTTCAAAATGGCAGTAATTTAGCTAAGTTTTGTACAGCAGAATGTAAAAATGTATCACATTTGAGCCGGGATTTAGCTCAGTGGTTCCAGCACCTGCCTCCCAAGCACAAGGTCCTGAGTTCAATCCCTGGCACCAAAAAAAAAAAGTATCACATTTTAGGGATAATGTTTTCATGTGAAGAGAATCTCAGGCTATGAAAGACTGGTTGAGAAGAGAGCTCTTCTTTCAAATTCTACAAAAGTATACTTACAGCAGTGGTGGGGAACCTATGGCACAGGTGTTACTTGTTATTCTTTTAAGACAAAAGATATTAATGTATGAGTTGTTTTCTAAACTAAAACCTCAGTATTCAGGTTTAATTACAGCGTTAGCACTTTGCAATAAGTTAAGTGGGTTTTGGGTTGTAGTTGGGATACTTGTCTCTAAAAGGTTCGCCATCACTGACTTAGAGGAAGGGAGTAAATGAAGCTGCAGATACCTCACCTCTTATTTCAGAGAGGGAATAAGGGAACTCTCTTAGTAGGCCTGTATGGGGCATGTGAGCCATGCATCACTAAATCAACAATGCCTCATATAAATCACTGCACCTCAGTGACACAGGAACTGCTCTCTGGGTGTAGAAGCAGGGACAGTCCGGAGTAGGTGTGTGAATCAACAAAATAATGGTAGGACCTTGCTCTAATCTGTTCCTTTTCTTTGTGGTACTGGGGATGGAACCCAGGCCTCTGCACTGAGCTCCATCTCCAATCCTTTTTATTTTGAGATGGTCTTGCTAAGCCAAAGTTGCCCAGGCTTGGTATGAATTTATCATCCTTCTGCCTTACCCTCCAGACTGGCTCCACACCCAGCTATCATCTGCACCTTTTAAAAATTATCTTATTCCACTTTCCCAGGGATCCTGCTGTTTTAAAAATGAATTAATATAAATTTTAGGGAGTTTTATACTATACAGTACCCAGACTGTATTTGGTGCTCAACATGACAAAATAACAAGGCATAAAAGCTTTTTTGCTCATGGACTTCCCTATTATGTTATTGTTTCTGTGGGAGAATATGGTTCAACTTAATAGCACTCAACTTCCAGGACTTTTCCAGAATTTCAAACCCTGTGAAGACTGGTCAGCCATAGGACCGTCACAAATGTTAACAGAACCAAGACACTAAAGCCAAGAGCTGTGAACAAAAAGCTTGCCATTTCCTGGGGTAGGGCACACCAAGGACTAGAGATATCTGGTTGAAATATTCCTCACCTGGAACTTTTCCAGCTCATTGGTCACCAAGGCCTGGGCCTGAGCCAGAGGTGCATGGCAGCGCTCAATGCACTGGTGCACTTGCTGCATGGACGCCTGGTTGTCCTCACAGCAGTTGGCACTGCACCGGAACATGAGGCCCTGGGTAGGAAGAAGAGCAGAGCCTGGTTAGGTAGGAAAATCTCTGAGGGCAAAGACAACCAGGGAGTTCTACAAAGGTAAGGAGGCCACGTTTGTATTTGCATCTCCTTCTCCACACTTCACTTCTTAAAACAGGCATCAGGATCTTAAAACTATGACTGGAAAAATTATCCTCTGTGCCTATTACAGTGTTTCAAGGTCTTCTTGCTGTTAGCTCTTTGGCACTTGTTGCATCAATGGCTGGGTGAGTGGAGCAGGAAGGGGCGGGCCAGATGAAGCCATGTTCTGAAAACCTAGGACCAAGTTCAGAGGCGGCAATTTGGTAATCTGCATTTCAGCCTGACAGCCGATCCATTAATCAATGACTCAAGAATAGTTATAAAGGAAACCCATAATCTAGTGAGGGGGCAAACCCAACACCCACAAAACATTTAGGGGATCCAAGATGAACAGCATATAAACCAGCGCAGGTGAGGCGGGGCGGGATGAACTTCTGCCTTGGGGTCTTTGACCTTGGCGGTGCCCTTCCCGGGGCTGACGCTGCTCACCTGCGGAAGGGGCCGCGCTACGGGGAAGGTGGAGGACAGCGCCTCATACCAGGGGACATCCCGCCGCCGGGCTGGACGGAGGGGGGGGGCGCGGCCTCGCGCGTGGCCGGGGCGCACGGACGTCACGCGATCAGCCGCAGCTCCGACAAGTTCTGTCTCAGTGCCTGGCGGGCTTCCGAGGAGCCCCGGGGACCCCACGGGCGCTCAGCCCCAGAGCGCGGGGAGGGGAAAGCGGTGTCGCGCTGGCTCGGCGGCTGACGAGGGCCCGGGACCCCAGCCACGGAAAAGGGGGTCCCGGCTCGGCCCCGCCCGTTACCTGCATCTTCCGGATGTTCTCCCTCTCCACACTCTTCACCATGGAGTCCACCGCCTCCTGCACCCGGAGCTGCTGCAGCTCCGCCATAGCGACCCCGCGCTGCCCTACGCCAGCGCCCACATGGCTTTGCCACCGCCCCGCGCCCCGCCCCCCGCCGCCGTCGCCGCCCCGCGCCCCGCCTCCCCACCGCCCCGTCCCCCAGCCGACCCGTCCCCACTCCGCCTCCTGGCGGCCTCGTTGAGCTACTACATGCCAGCGCCCAAGCCCGCTCTCTCCCTCGACTGAGCCCCTCATCCCACTCAAATTGGGTCCTGAGTACTTCGGCTGGCTTCCAGCCTCCCTTTTGCCACCTCCTTCTTTGTTCCCTGCCTCTGTCCCTTCCTTCAGGTTATTAACATATATTTAATGTAATTAGCATACAGATGAATGTCCAGATCTTGGGTATACAGTTTGAGGTTTTTTTTGTTTTTTTTTTTTGGTATCGGGTCCTTGCGCTTGCGCAGCAGGCGGCGAAACCACTGAGCTAAATCCCCGTCCTTCAGTTTGAGTTTTTCACAAGCCTTGCCCTTTGTCAATCTGTGCTTTTTCTCCTAGGAGCCCTCTTCCTCTAACTCCATGGATCTGTTTTCTATCACTATGGATTATATATTCCCATTCTAATATATATATAATATAATATATAATAATATAATATATTTTGTATATATATTCTTTTTGTGTCTGGTTTCTTTCACACAGCACAATACGTTTTAGACTGAAACATGTTTTTAAGTTCCCTTTTCTTATTGAATAATATTCCATTGAATGGACATAGTGACATAGTCAGAGGTCACCATAGGGACAGAGGACAAACGCAGCCTTAACCTGTTACTCATTAAAAAAGTATGTTTTGTGTAGTCAGGGACTTAAAAGTGTTTTTTGCTAAAAACAGTGACTCTTCACTTAGGCCTACAGATGCTCAATAGGTAACTAACAGCAAAACAAAGCCTGACCTTTATTTTGTAAAGCTTTGGGTCAAATCCCTTTTCAGCTCTGCATATAGGCAAGTTAGTCATTTAGGGAGGGTCTGTCTAAAAGATGGTAAAATAGAGTTGCTTAAGCCTGAATTTATGTAACCTATCTCATCATCCCTCAAGACTGAGGACACCAAGATAAGGATTTACGAGGACATTCAGCTACATCCAGAAGTCTTGTTGCCCTAAACCTACAGTCACCTTGGATTCCAGCAGTCTCACAAGACTGAGACCACCCCTCCAGGAAAGAATAATCATATCTTGGCAACTGAATTGCCCCTCAAGCCAGCAGGATTCCTCCAGGGCTTCTTAAATAATGGTCAGCTAAACCCCAGCCCACATCACAGCCTGAGAATGTTAGCTGCTCTTTTGTTTGTGGGCCAGTGTGATCTTCAGATCTGTGTCCTCTTTAGCTCCTCAGACTGAAGCCCCTTTCCTATTTTTCTCTTTTGTTTGTTTGTGGGACAGCTTGATTTTTGTCAGAGCTGTATCCCTCCTTCATTTTCACTTACTTTCCAATTTTTCTGTAAATTCATATGGATCACTTGAATTTTAATTTCCATTATCACTGAAGTAAGGACTTGTACTAACTGGTGACAGTATCACAACTTGTTTAGCCATTCCTCTGTTGGTGGCCATTTCTGTCTTTTCTAGTTATTAGCTGTTATAAATAAAGTAGAGGCTATGAACATCTTTGAACAAGTCTTTGGTAGATACAGATTTTTTTTTTATTCTTGGGTAAATACCCAGAAGTGGAATTGTTGGGTCATGTTTGTGCATATATTTCTTTCTCTTTTTTTGGTGCTAGGGATCGAATTTGGGACCTTGCGCTTGCAAGGCAGGTGGTGGAACCACTGAGCTAAATCCCCGGCCCTATGCATATATTTCTAATAAAAAAAATTAAGGGCAGTGTGGGAGCTAGAGGTACCCAATCAACAGCGAAACAGGTCCAGTATTGCCTGCAATGTGGAGCTGTTTCTGACGCCCAGAACAAGTCTATTAGCATCCCCTCACTTGACCCCCATCTTTACTGTGCTATGCATTTGTTTATTGAACACATGTTGGGCACCATGCTAGGTAGGGGCTGCCCTGGAGAAGGGAGGTCAGTGGAGAAGGGCAAGGTATCAGTTGCAGGCAGTGTTGGAAAAGCTGTGCTGGAGACAGCCCAGGGGGCAAGAAGGAAGCAAGTGTGTATCAGTCTCAGGAGAGCCCTCTTACAGGAGGCAAGGCTTGCATTGAATCTTTTAACCAAAAAGCCATTGCTTGGCCCTTGAGTGTGTGAAGAGAGTGTCAGGCCAGGCATGAGAGGCTGCTTTGAAGCTTTGGGGAACTGCCTGGAGTAGAAAAGAAGACTGGTGGATGAGCCCCACAGGAATGGGACCCTGTTGGTGGCATTCAAGCATTTGCTGTCCTTGGGCACTAGATGGCAGGGTAACCCTAGTGTGAGAGTAGTGGGCAACCTGTCAACCCACGGGCCTCTCAAGAGAGACATCTACTTGTATCACGCAGCCTTCTCTCTCCCTAGTGCCGGCAGCTCCCTGGAAACCACTGTTCAGGGGCTAGGACTCCTGTCCACCTCAAACCTGGCGACAGGCAGCTCTCAGCAGCATCTGGAATCAGTAACACTGGCTGTTCCCTACTGGGTCAAGTGCTTTACACTGATTTTCTCGTTAAGCTCCCACAGCAGTCCTCTGAGATGGGTACTTTTCTCCCATTCAGGGCAGAAAACGGAGGCCTAGGGAGGTGAAGTAACTTGCTAACTGTTGTACATTCAGAAACTGGTGGTGCTAGACTTCCCACGCTGATGAGCGGATGGTGACTGTGCAAGAAGGAAATCTCTCTTGTGACTGACTTACTGGGTGTGCTTATATCCCCACATTCCACAGAAAGTTTTTCTTTCTTCTTTAAAGCACAATCTGAAATTCTTCACTTTCCCTCCTTTTCATAAAAGGTCAGACTGAGGGCTGGGGATTTAGTTCAGTGGTTCTGCCACCTGCCTCGCAAACACAAGGTCCTGAGTTCGATCCCCGGTACCAAAAAAAAAAGGTCAGACTGAAAATTTCTAGTACCTTCTATGTATGAGCACTCAGTTAATTGCACTAAAGTGAGTTTTAAAAAATCGTTGAGTCATATAGCCTTATTAGTTTATGTACACAAAACGAATGATTCTTGGCTATTGTGTCTCTTCAACGTAACCCACCCTATGCCACAGGGTGTTTTTTGGTACCGGGGATCGAACTCGGGTCCTTGCGCTTTCGCAGCAGGTGGTGAAACTACTGAGCTAAATCCCTGGTCCCATAGGGTGTATTTTTATTTCTATTTTTTTTCCTACTTTTACTTGGCCCGAACCCACTCTGCAGGGCGTTTTTTCCTACCTTTAATACATGTGAAACTTGACCATCAATTAAAAAAAAAAACCTAAATGAATGATTCTTTAGTATTTATGAAGAAAGGATTTTTTTTTTTTTTTTGAAACAGAGGCTTGGTCTGTACTCCAGGCTGATCTCAAGCTCTCAATCCTGCCTCAACCTCCTGAGTGCTGGGAGTACAGGTGTAAGACACTATACTGGCACTATACTGGGCTATGAAAAAGGAACTGACTTCCACTTGTCTCTGGAAACAAATTCTTTGTTAAAGAGGCTTTGACAAATAGGTTATTTGGAAATGAACTTTCTTTCTTTCTTTGGGGAGAGGGAGGGATAGGATTTTCCTATGCAGTTCAGGCTGGCCTCGAACTCACACTCTTCCCTCAGCCTCCTAAGTGCTAGGATTATAGGTGTGCATCACCATACTGGTTTGAACTTCTTAATTTTCAAAGATGTGGGTAATTTTTAGGCAATTTTGGTGATTGTATTATGGTCAGCAAACATACTCTGTGTAATTTCATTCTTTTGATGTGTTGAAACTTCCTTTATTGTACCAAAAAAGACTTTTCTGACTGGCCCTCTCCTGCCTTGTATGCCTCTGTCATAAATTTTCTTAACATCCTGTGCTGGTTTGTGACAGTGCCCATCAATAGTACTCATTACTTGTCCCATTTTTTTTGTAGATTATAAATTCCTTGAGGACAGGGACCATATCTGTTCTTTTCATTGTTCTTCCTCATTTCTTAGTGTCTGGCAGTACCCTTCAGGAAGTTTGTTTAATGAATGAATAAATTAATTTCACTTTAAAATTAATTAATCAGATTACTAAAATATTTGGAAACTAGAGAAAAGGAACAACAAATAGATAGATGAAATGTAAACTGGGTACAGTGGCCCATGCCTGTAATCCAGCTACTCAGGAGGCTGAGGCATCATAAGTTTGAGGCCAGCCTGGGCAACACAGGAAGAACCTGTCTTTCTTTCTTTCTTTTTTTTTTTTTACTTAAATTATTTTATTGGTACATTTTAGGTATACAACACATTTACATTTCTCATTGGGAACTTGTACCTTTACATGATGCATCTTGGTTCTTATTTTTTCCCCCTTTCCTAGCCCTCCCTTCACCCCCTCCACCCTTCCCTATTTACGAAGACTTTATTTCCATTTTTTCCATTTCTCATCATTTTTCCTTTCCCTTCTTTCCTTTCCCCTGCCCCTTCCACTACCCCTACCCCTACCCCTTCGGACCTTTTCTTCCTATTTTGTATTATTGATTATTCATTCTAGTCATTGGCACATTTTAGGTATACAATATAATGACATTCATCATTGGAAATTTGCACCTTTACATAATCTCTCTTGGTTGGAAGAACCTGTTTTAAAAAAAAAAAAAAAAAGGAAGAGGGCCAGGGATTTAGCTCAGTGGTGCCACCGCCTAATAAATATTGATTTCTCATGTGTCATCTGAAACTAAGCAGGCTAGGCCTTATATAGTAGCTCCATGACTTCTTTTTAGTTGTTCTGCCATTCCCAGAGGGGCATTCCATATAGTATTGATTTATTTCTTTCCAGTCTTTTTTTCCTATGTGGTTTTCTAAATACTGCAGAAATAACATACAGATACTTGGATATCTTGCATTTACATCTACATGTTTCATTATGTATAAATAAAGGAAAACAGCATGTAGCCAGTGATTAATGTTAAATAGAAGCATACAAATGTAAAAATGTAAAGTCCTGGGGCTAGAGTTGCTA